TGTATTCCTTAAGGGAAAACATTCATCCTTTTATTATTCAATATCCATAATATCACATTACCCCCCTCCAGTTTGGAACAAACGTGGGAAGGATTAGTGGTGGTATGGTGTAGGATGTATTGTGGAATGTATTGTGAGCAACATGAAATGGATGTGGGTAACACAAATTGAAGATGGATGTGCATGAATGGCGCCGTCATAAAAACCCGTGCAAAAACCCAGTGGGAAAAAATAAGGGAAAAGACATTGCCTGCACGTTTATGTATACAACATTTAAGTTGATTACTTTCTAAGGCGTTTGCTACGTCGAGTGGTAGTATGGTTGCCTGTGGCTTTACGCTTTGAAGATGTATTATCGGCATGATGCTGACTTTGATCATCTTTTTGACCCAGCCTATTCCAATACTGCATGATGAAATCAGGGTCGGTGAACTTATCGGGTGTAAGCCAAGTATCATCTTCAGGGCCATAACCCTTCCAGCGTACAAGATACTCACGTTTGTTCGGTTTGCCACGATGATTGATGATGGCTTGTACCTCGTATAATTCATCAGCGGGTATAACTTCATCTTGAGAGATGAGCTTTAATTCTGATGGTGCATAATCTCGAGGCATTAATGAACCCGTTTCATCCTGCAAGATGTAAGAGCCACCTTGCGTCTTGCGCAAGACTGTGTAGGGCCCCTCGTATACAGGTGCGAGTTTGCTACCACGTGTTTGTACCCGTGCCATGACGTGACTTTGCTCAGGGAAATCAATGAGGCGGTGCTTTTTGTCAAACTTTTTCTTTTGCAAGTTTATATACAACATGGTTCTTTCTTTGAGTGCTGGAAACACGACCTTTTGCATATGCTCGATACGCTCAACCAATTGCTCATACGACATCGGCTTGACATTTGTGGAGTCCTCTTGCCGGTAATCGCGAAACTCATTGACGTTACGTGCGAACATTAAGGAAAAAGGTGGGCACTGCAGTCGTTTGGAAACGCGCATATTGAGTGCTAACTGTGTGCTAGGAACATAGTAGTCCCAGTCTTTTCCAGAGCCTTCGATCCTTTTACGGATGATTTGAGTTGATGATTGCACCCAACGTTCGGCTATGCCATTTGCTCGAGGATGATAAGGCGTTGTGAGCCTATGCTCAATTCCCAAGCTATCGACAAGCTTCTTCATGAGGTGATTCTTGAATTCAGCCCCGTTGTCAGATTGGATGACTTTAGGTAAGCCGAAATCACAAAAGATTTGCGTGAAGGCATGAACCAATGTATCAGATTTCTTGTTAGGCAAGGCGCGTAGGATGCAGAATCTCGTACATACGTCTACCATTACAAGTAAGTAGTTGTTGCCAGAATGCGTTGTCTGATTGAATGTAGCCAAGTCAACAGCCCAATGGTCGCCTGGTATGTAAGCATAGATTGGTCGTAGAGGATTATACCCCTTCTTCGCAATATTATACTTTTGGCATTGTGAACAACGTTTTACTATTTCAACGGCATCCTGGAGTATGGAATTCCAATGTACGCCTTTTGTGTGTTGCAAGTACCTGACAATGTGTTCCGCCCCAGCATGGCCAACTTGGTAGTGAGCATCTTCAAGATCACTTTGTTTGTCGGCATCTGTGGTTGGAGTCAATGTATCGGTTGGGATTTTGGGTGAAGGTGCAGTAATGAGCTGCTTTCTTCTTCTTCTTCTGCTTTTGATAGCAGCAATTCGTTTATTTGAGCGGGCAACCTTACCCCCCTCCAGCTGTGCACTTGGGGTGAACAAGCGAGAGAGTCGATCAGGAAGTACATTCTTAAGACCGGGGAGATGCACCACTTTGAAAGAGTAGTTAAGGATGGTATCCAACCAATTGATCATCATTGGATTGGCAATCTTTTGAGTATGAAGATACGTGAGGGCTTTATGATCCGTATAAAGAGTAAACGGATTTCCCCAAAGAAATTGATGGAATTTGTCGAGAGCATAAATAACAGCAAGTAACTCCCTCTTTGTTGTTGAGTAATTGCGCTCGGATTTGCTTAGTGAGCGTGCCATGAAGCCAATGTATCGTGCCTTGTTGTCCTTCATTTGAAAGAGAACCGCTCCAATGCCATAATTAGAGGCATCTGTGGCGACATAAAAAGGCTCATTCAAATCGGGATACTTCAAGGGGACATTAGCAGCTAAGGCTTCTTTAAGGTTATTAAAGCGCAACGTATGGTCACGAGTCCAGTAACCTCTCAAGGACCCTTTTTCACGTAGAGCTTCAAGGGGAGCGCTTGTTTGGGATACATTAGGGATGTGACTCCTGAAGTAGTTAACAATGCCCATGAACCTTTGAATGTCCTTGCCACATTGTGGTATAGGCCACGTCAAGGCATTTGAGACCTTACGAGGATCGAGTTTAATACCATTGTGACTTATGCAGAAGCCTAGTAGGTATATGCTCTTTTGGGCAAAGTGGCATTTGTTTGGATTAAGAATAAGGTTTGCAGCTGTCAACGCATGTATAGCTTGTTGCACGTGTTCACGATGTGTATCCATATCGGAGGAAAAGATCACTATATCGTCGACAAACGTACGCACGAATGGCATGTCTTTAAAAATGATATGCATGACCCGCTGAAATTTAGAAGAGATTGGCTTTAAACCAAATGGACACCCTTGGAACATGTATTGTTGACCATTGTGAGTGAACGTGGTTTTATGCTGATCAGCCTCTTTGATCTTAAAGCGGTGAAAGGCGTTCGTCAAGTCAAGAGTAGTGAATACCTTTGCTCCACCCAAATCTTGAAAGATTTCACGAATGAGCGGCAATGGATATCGATCGTCAGGCAGGTAACGGTTTATATGACGGGGATCAAGGCATGGTCTTTTGCCCGTTTTATTGCCGTATGCATCCTTTTTATCAGCCAATGTCAAAGGACTATTCCAAGACGTGTTGACTGGAGCTTTAACAATGACACCATCCTTTAGCCATTTTTCGACAGCAGCATCAATAACTGGTCTCAGCTTAAACGGTATAGGATATTGGCGGTGATACGAAGTGACACCATCGGGCGTGGGCAACTCCACAATTGATTCAGGAATGTTACAAAACGTGGTGGATAAGATGTTAGCATTAGCTTCAAGGAACTTGTTAATCCCATTGAAGAAAGCTTTACGTTCATCATCAGAACCTGCAGGTGCGTCATTAGGAGTGTCTGAATCAGGCTTCTCGTTTTCACTAGAATCTTCTTCATCATCCCAGCGGACAGCTAAACCTGTAATTGCAAGTCCAATATGCGGCATCAAATCCGCTCCAATGATGACATCCTCTTTATCAAGATCCATCACTTCAAAGACAAATGTAGTCTTATGACCATTATAGCTGATGTGCAATGGCTCGGTTATACCAATGCGTGCACATCGATCACCTGTACCCGGATACAATATGTTCCCATCAATAGATTGAATAGTCCAATTATTATCATGACACAATCTTTTATTAACAACAGAAATTTCAGCTCCTGAATCTACTAAGGCCCAGTATCGCTTATTCTGTATAAGAATGGGAGAATTGATGAGTACATGTGATCTTTTGTTTGAGCTAATGTTGCCTAAACACTTACCAGAAGACTGAATGAGGATGTCCTCGATATTCTCGATGTCACTCAAAACATCTTCCATGGCATCATCGGCAGGGTGAGGGACTTCATCCATATCGGTGGACTCCATCTTATCGGTAGCAGGCTCAGGATCAGCTGAGTTGCATGTATTATCGGCGGCAGTAGTAGTAGCAGCAGTGGCAGCAAGGGCATTGAGCTTCTTTTCTTGTCGTTTGGCTTCCCGCTTTTTCTTTTTAGCCTCGCGGTATTCGTCACAACGATGATCAGGATCCCATTCCTTGCCACAATAAATGCAAAGCCCATCTTCATACAAAGACTCAACCTTGCTTTTAGCCTTGTTGCCCTTGGGCTTGGACTTGACCGCTTGGTTGCAGTCAGCAGGCTTGTGCTTAACGTACTGCTGATGATGAGGGCACCAATACTTCTTGTTACTAGCATTGGATTGCGGATCCTCCTCACGCTTACGCTTGTAAATGGTCAATGAATTGGCCACTTTGAGGATTTCACTAACCCGTTTGGGCTTATGACTGCCTCGTTTACCAATCCACGCCACCTGAACGTTTTCTTGAATCCTATCTTGCAAAGAAGTGAGGAAACGAATAGCCAAATTATGGTTGTCTTCGAGACCACCCTCTCTAGCAGCATTCATGAAACGTATTCCATAATCAGCAACTGACTCGGCAGGTAATTGCATCATGGTGTATGCTTCCTTAGCCTTGTGCATTTGCTGATCCGCAGCAGTAAAGCGTTTGAGAATGATTTTACATGCCCGGTCCCAAGTCATGCCCTTACGAGCAAAAACCTTTTCCTTGAACCAATGATCCAAGTCATGGGGCACTGCCAAAGGTAGCCATCTTTTCCAAGTCTTTTTGCAACCAATGGTATTGGCATTCAAGATCTTTTCGAAGCGGTTCAAAAAGTGCTCAGCAGTTGGGTATACCTCCTTGCTGCTATCGAACACAGAGAAACCAGCAATCTGGAACAATGGCACTTCCTTAGCGGACATCCTATCAGAGACTTTGGTAGTGGTATTGCCACCTTCCTTAGCCTTTTTAGCTTCTTTCTCCTTTTTAGCAGGTTTCGGTTTTTCACCGTATTCCCGCTCATAGGTATAGCGGAAGCTATCGAGAGCCTTTTGGGTCTTGGCAATGTCAGCTTGACGCAACTGAATTTGCTCGGTACTTGCGGTCTCCATGACTTCACTGAATTGGGAAACCAGCTTGTCAAGCTTATCCTTGTAGTGCTTGATGATCTTTACGAGCTCTTGCTTGCTCTTGTCTTGTTGTTGTTGTTCTTGAGGTTGTTGGGCCTCGGTCATGGTAACGTCTTGGGTCTTGGTTTGGTCGTTGGAAGACATGTTGGTGGATAGAGATGCAGAATTCAACGTAAAAAATGTGATGTTTGGTAATAGAAAATGGATAACAATGAAAAGTACGTTGA